GTGGCATGTTTGTTGGAGTGCTGAACTCCACCTGGCCAACTGCAGTTCCAGTTCCAGACCAGGCGGCTTGCTTTCTCACTTTCCTCTCTGTCTCTCTCTCTCTCTCTGATGAGTGTGCGTGCCCTGTAGCAGGTTGAAAAATAATACTAAATAAAATCAAATGATCATTTTTTGAAAAGGCAAAAACTTGGGACAAAAACGTGGGACTAGCAGATAGCGCAATGGTTAAGGCCCTGAACTCCCATGTGGCCTACTGGTTCGAGTCCCGGATCTGGCAGCTTGCTTTCTCACTTTCGGTTGCTCTCTCTGTCTCTCTTATAAGCACATGTATAAATAAAATGAATAAGTAAAAATTTTTAAGAAAGAGAAAAACTTCCAAAGACTCAAATAAAAAGACACGCTGGCTTCTAAAGAATGTCCGTGTTTATTTTCCATAGTTTTACTGTACACGTCATGCCAGCACACAGGAGGCACATACAAACAAACGCACCAGCTTCAGTTTTCCAAAGTCACATGGCAATAAATAAGGAGGGCAGGTCCTTTTTTTTTTTCTTTTTTTCTTTTTTTTCCAGGAAATGAGACTTCATTTCTTTTTTAACTGTACAAAATTTACACTGCGAAGGATGAGGGTAACAATCCAGAGCTTAGGGGATCTGGGGCTTTGAGGTCTGAAGGCAAGTTCAGAGCAACTTCTGGGGTCCTGCAGCCCTGAACCTTTTTGGCTGGACCCAGTCATCAAGCGGGAAAGAACAACGCGATTCTCGTCTCTAGGTGGGCAGCAGATGAGCAGGGGCTGTCCTCCTGTCCACCTGGGCCCTGCCTCCCTAAGCAAAGGAATACTTGGCGCACCTCCCAAACCTGCAGCTGTCTCCTCACCAGAGCTAGCAGCATGAAACTGTGCTTTTAGTGTGGTCCTACCAAGCAGAGAGTGGATGGGATGCCTCGGCTGAGCTCTCTCTCTCTGGCTCCAGTCACGCGCATGAGAGCGGCCACTGCCCAAGGGCCCTGACCAGCCCAGAGAGAGAGAGCCCGTGATGTGCTTTGTACTCAGTGTCCAGCGTGCCAGGGCCCGTCAGCAGCAGGCAGTGAAACGAAACGCATTTCCGCTGCATTGAATTGGTCTTCTCACGGTTTCCAGTTTTTAAAGTGCAATGTATAAAAATGAACCACCTCAGGCCTCCCAGACCCTGCTGGCTGAGGAGGTACGGTCATTATCTCTGGTTATGACCGAGCTGTCAGTCGTGGCGAGTAGGAGGGGCTGGGTGGGAGAATGGGCGACTGTCCCGGCATGTGGCTAATCGGGAGCCTTGAACCCCTCCTGCAAGGAGGCAGCTAGTTCAGAGTAACCGGCTGGAGCTTCAGACATGGCAATGTCTTTTGTTCTACAGATTTCTTCTACTTCCTTGCAAAGTGAGCCTCGTGTTGAAGCTCTCACGGCCTCCACTTATCTTACTGCATGTCATGTTTTACACTGCCCCAAAACAGAAAAATCGTGGGGTGCTGTCAGTTGCTTTTCTTTTGTCTCAATGTTGTCCTCTTTGCCTGATGTGTCCCTGCGTTAGCCAGCAGGAGCTATGTCATTAATATGGTAGCTGATTTTCCTCTTAGGCTCTATTCAGAACTATCAGGTGAGGCAAGAAAAGGAAAGCACAGAGACTGAAGGAACGTGCCTGAGGTTGCACAGCCTTGCCTGGAGGAGCCCAACCACACTTCCCAACCATGTGCTAGACCCGCTGGGCCCGCTGAGCCCTTGGATGGGCATTTCCCCCGGTTTCGTTCCCGTCAACAAATAGAGCTCCTCGAATTCCCATCTCATATATCAATTACTGCTGGAACTTGGGGGGAGGGCGGTGGTAATTTGCTGCTGGACTCAGAAGCACCCTGCTCTAATGTCTGTCAGCCAGGCACTACAGATAATGGTTGCTAGTTAATTGCTCTCTTGAGCCAAGACAGATCCAGATATTGAAAAAGCCTCTAGAAGATGTCTTCTCATTTTAAAAACCCATCCTAGTTATTTTAGCAAGGGGGACAGCAGCTGCCGTGTAGCACCGTACACCCCCACCATAGACGGAGCAGCAGAGGAGTCCTCTGAACATCCACAACCGAGTCTGAGCTGCTCCGTCTCCACACCACAGGCGGCCGAGGAGCAGGCTCGGTATGCAGCGTCCGTCCCCGGTGCCAGCCCCACTCGCAGGGAGAGCCCCTAAAAATCGGAGCCCTGCCTGGCTGTGCTTCTAAATGCCCTCTGAGGAGGTGGCTCCAGAGAACTTAAAGCTCTCCTGGCCTTCTGCCTCGGGCCCTCTCGAGCCAGTCTGCACCAACTGAAGCCAGGGTAACGCCTACCACACTGCCGTGGCGCTCATGGAGGCCCTCTAAGATCCATGTCAGCATGGGAAGGAAGGCCTCGTGTTCCGCCACCGTGGAATCGGGAATGATAGGATAAACGCACTTGCAAAAATGAGAACTGCTCAACTGTGACCTTAACTGTCAGTGCTACACCAACAAGGGGAGGCGCTCCCGTAAAGAACCTGTTCTCCCTGCAGTACGAGGGGTCTTTGGAAAGTTCATGGCAAATGTGCATCATGAAAGAACTACACATGGGTTTCAAACACTTTTGCACCAAAATAAACATTTTAATTCCATTTTCCATGAACTTTTTGAAGTCCCCCTATATACGCAACGAAAATATGAAGTGCCTCTGAAATCCCATGAGAGATGCTAAGCCCCATAGTCACGCCGAGACGGCGATCCGGTGGGACAGCTTTTCGGGCTCGTTGCCTTTCTCCTGTGCGTTGTGAGAGCCTGCTGAGAATGAGCTGAAGAAGCTGTCCTCCAAAGACACAGTCGCGGTGTCCTCGCCCTCACTTGGCTCATTAGCTTGCACTGGTGTCCCCACCCCCAGTACGTACATTATTGGGGAGTTCCCAGCTGAACAGGCTAACACATCAAAACAGGGAACCTCGAGAAGAGTCTGCTTGCAGACTTCCCGAGCAAACTCACCCAGACGCGGGTACACTGCAAACCTGGCCTGAAGGCTGGTCTGGGAACTTGCTGGGATTTGAAAGGGCCTCACTGAGCTCAGTTTAGTCCCGTGAGGGGCTTACCAAAGATACAGCAGCCCACAAGGACCCGCCATTTCTTCCTCCGGTCTTCCTGCCTCATACCTGAATCCCTGCTGTCCTAAGGGACCAGCCAGACACAGAGGGACGTTGCCACAGGATCTTCAAGTGAAAAAAGGTAAATCTCACCCCTTCCTACCCTGCTGATCTTTTTAAGGGAATGGGAGGCCAAAAGAAGCAACCATGGTTTCCC